CTACAACGAGATTCTAAAATGGCCTACACAGATTTTTAGGGGCCCTAGAAGATTATAAATAAATTGGACCAAAGTGATATTTCAAACTGTTTTCTGTAATTCTTCAAATCTTTTCAGCCTATTTAAATGGAAAAAAAGTCTCTCTGCTGTTATCATCGTGCGTACACCACACTGAACATAGACCAGAGAAAGCAAAAGGAGAGAGTTGTCGAAGATCAGAAAGAAAATTATAGACCAGCATGTCAAAAGGTAAAGGCTATCTCCAAGCAGCATGATGTTCCTGTGACTACAGTTGCAAATGTAATACCAAGGTTTAGGGTCCATTAGAGTGTAGCCATCCTCTTTAGACATGGGCGCAAGTGGAAAACTCGACCTCAAATTTAACAAAAGGATAGTGCAAATGTTAGACAAAGAGTCAAGGAAAACTGTCAAAGAGAGACAAGCTGAACTCAAAGGTCAAGGTACATCAGGGTCTGATTTCACCATCCATCACCTTTTGACCCGACAGTGGGTTCAAAGGAAGACTCCATTGTTGAAAGAAAAATATAAAAAAGCCAGACTGGAATTTGCCACAATGCTTATTGACAAGCCACCATGGTCAGTGTCCTATGGACAGCTGGGACAAAACTGGTGCTTTTTTGGCAAGTCACATCAGCCCTGTGTTCACAGACTAGATCATGAAACTTTCAAAGAAAACTGTATCTACTGTAAAACATGGAAGAGGCTCGGTTATGTTTTAGGGCCACTTTGCTGCATCTGGCATAGGGTGCCCTCAATCGATACAGCACTCAATGAAATCTCTAAACTACCAGGCAATGCTAGAAGGAAACATACTGCCCAGTGTCCAAAATCTCTGAACCAGTCACAGGTCATTGGTCCTCCAAGAGCATAATGACCAAAAGCTAAAAGCACCCAAGAATGACTATATGACCACTGAAGTGGCCTTTTTTTTGATCCCTGATCTGAATCCTAATGGACATATAATGAAAGAGCTGAGACATGCAGTCAGGAGCAGTCACCCTGCAAACCTGAGACAGCTGGACTAGGTTACTGAAGGAGGAAGGGCCAAAACTACCTGTTGGCAGGTGCAGAAGTCGCGTTAAGAGCTACAGAAATGACTTGTTTGCAACAATTGCATGTAAAAGATTGTTCAACAATTGATATGAGCATCAAAGAGAGCGGAAGCATCCAGAGTAAAAGAGGTAAATAAATACCGCACATGTGTGGAGATTGTATACAACATTACTGCATGTGGTGGGACATTGTTTTATCATTGATTAAGGGAAACCCGCACAGGCGTGGTGCAGAGTGGCAGTACCCTGTGCATGCATGGGGATGGTCAGATTCAGGTGGCTCTTATTTATGTACATGCAGCTTCAGCATCCTTTGGAGCCACCACTATGAAGGAATCTTATGTTAAGCCAAAACCCTGGCGCCATCTTAATGAAGTCCAACTGCAGAATTTATGTTCAATGTATATTATTTTGCAATCAAATTTTATTTCAATGCTTTACCACTAACGCTGACCACCTAAGCTATCCAACCTACTATATCATTACTTTGACATTCAATCTGTATGAAGGACTGAAACTAAGGTGGAAACCTAAACTCCATTTTACTTCCTGTAGTCTTCTTTTATAATGACAGACAGACAGACGATAGATCATATAAAATACACATATATCTATGTTTCCTGACTATGTCACCTTTGTGTTTCAGATATATTCAATTTCAAGAACATGCTACCCATCTAAATATTTACACTTTTATTATTCTTCTTGGTTAACAGAACTACATTGTGAGTGTATGTCTACAAATATTGCCTGCGCTTAACAAATAAATCTCTGACAAGCTTCCATCTAAATGGAGCACGTTGGATAGCTATATCCATCATGATTAGTAATGAAACCTTTCGAGGTTAACTAACATAATACAGACATTGATCTGGTCTGTTCAGATGACAAGCAGAACATTGTCAACAAACAGGTTAAAAGGGATGTCTCACATGTGTGAAATACATTGGAGAGCGTGTATACATCTAGTAAAGGCCAATAAGTGGGCAATTTCAGCAAATTTACACAATCATGAAAAATGCATCTAACAAAACAGAAAAATATGTACAGTTGCAAGCTCTAAAATAACACCGTTTGAAAAAGCAGACAAGCAAATATTACGTTTTCTATATCATGGGAAAATGCAGCCATGGGGTGTCCACAGATGGGAACAAATATGGCTGCAAATATAAAAGTATTAACCGTGAACCATAGTTTTTATTTTTTGCACTTCATGTCATTCTCACAATCCTTTTGGGATTTTAGGAGTTCATTAACAGACAAAAAAATATGATTAAAGTTCACAAAGCAAAATGTACACTGCATGGCCCTGAACAGCTGAAGCAGGACAACCTTAAAATGGATGTTTACTACAGATTTCCGACCCTCCACATGACTGATGTGTGAGGGCAGTGGCTGTTAGCCAGGGTGGAATATTTCAGACAACGGTCTATAGTTCCCCATGAAGAAAGGAGTGTGAGAGGTATTGGTTTCACAGACATACACGTTTATAGGACCCAAACATACATCTCCATTGTGCCTCTTGGGCAACTAAATGATTTTTCAGTGGTCTGCCATCTTTAATATGCAGGCAGATTTCATTTTCCCAAAGTACATACTAAAAAGCTAATATAGGAAGCCTCTAAATCCTGAGAGCATGCTATACGTAGGGCCTTGACTTCAGGCACAGATTGGCACATTGCTTTGCTGACTCCAGAACTACTTCCTGGTATCCCATTCAATTACCAATTTTAGGAGCATTAGTGAAAGGTGGCAAGAGGATGCTTAAAGTGGATCCTCAGCCAACGGACCTAGCGTGTGTCATCGGGGGGCCGGTTGACTAAACCAAGAAGAGACCGCTGGTTTCCAATGACATCCGAGAAGATGGTGGCAGGAGACCCGGCACGTGGCATTGGGGAGGCTGATTACAGCAGGACAACTCAGGATTCGCTGGGCAGGCGAATATGTGAATACAGAATAAATAGGAAAAACAGAGCGATACATCAAATGCACAGAGGGGAACACAGTAAAGATAAGCTCCTCTAACATTAGTCAAGTCACATGTCCGGTCCGTACAAGTAGTGTGCACATGGAACCAATGAAACTCTCACCAAAACCAGGAAGATTGACAAACCTGCTACCAGGAACCATGGTGACTGCTTTCATAGTGTTGTTAGTTTAGTCGCCCTTAGCAACCAACATGTTTACAACATTTGAAGATTACTGGACTGCTCCGTTAATTATTACAGGTATTTCTATAGCGGCGACAATTTACACAGCACTTTACATAGTTGCACAGTCACATTAGTCCCTACCCTCAAGGAGCTTACAATTTAAGGTCCCTAGCTCACATACATACACAGAAAGCCAACTTAGAGGGAAGCCAATTAACCTACCAGCATGTCTTTGGAGTGTGGGAGGAAACCTGAGTACCCGGAGGAAACCCACGCAAGCACAGAGAGAACATGCAAACTCCAACAAAGCCAGGATTTGAACCGGGGACCCCCAGGGTTGCAAGGCAGAAGTGCTAACCACTACGCTGCCCGTTAATGCTTTCAAACTCTACTTGGTGTGCCAAGGAGCCCCTCCGATCCTAGGCAGACACCACAGAGGCTCACCTGCCAACCCTTTGTCCAATAATGACACCACAGTAATAATTAAACTACAAAATTCAGGAATTAATCAATCAAAAGCCTGAGGCCACATTTTTAGCCAGGAAAATACACAACTATTGATATAAATGTATAGATATAGAAATGAATTTGAGTTTAACAGGCTAGTTTACAGAAACTCTTTACATGCAAAGCCAGCCTGCCATTTTGTTTCTACTCGACTACATGTATATTTAAATCCAAACACAAAAATTTTATATACTGCAGATTACCAGTCCTCATGTATTGGCTGCATTAGTCTCCTTTTTTAAGGCTTTTTACCTCATTTATTTTATCTGCTGATCTTTCCAGTAACACAGTTCCTGTCCTAGTGTAACAGTCACACAGCGTACTAGATCTATGGAGGAGCAGCCTTATCACCTGACACTGCTTTCCTGATTGAACTACAAACACCTCCCCTTCTCCTCATCAGCATTACATAGGGGAGGTGTGTGTTATAGTTAACAGAAAATAGCTTGCAGAGCTGATACTATTGTTTGAGATTTTAGTTCGGTACTCAAGAAGTTACAAGGACACTGGATTTCTGGTAGAATCAACAGATATGTTTCTGCAATTGTAGAAAATGTACCTGGCCAGAAAAGAAAACTAAGGCAGCCACCACATCTAATGACTGATAATCTGCAAAATCTTTGGTTTAGGTATACTGGTTAGGGTTATCATTAGATAACCATCATCTAAAAAAACTGCTTTTTTTAGCAGCATCAAAGAAAATAAAGTCTGTGGGGTATACACAGTTCTAGTCTTTTCATGCAACCCGCGAGCTGAACTAAAAAAATAGAACCGATTCTCCATCAACGCTTATGAGCGTCAGACCAATCCCACGCTGTTTGCATTTTATTCTGACAGAGGCCGTTGGTCGCTGTCAGAATACCCGAACAGAGCTAGCAGTAGACGGGCTGCCAGCTACGATCGGCTCCTTCGATCATCTGATTGAGGGATGGCGGCGAAAGGGTGCCAACAGCGGCACCCACTGTAGCCATCTGTCAGGAACCGTTCAAAAGTCGAACCACGTGTACCCGACTTTAGTTCTGCAGCACACTGATCTCAGGGCTTCACTTTTATTATTGTAGTCCACAACGTACACATTTATGTGAGAGATGTATGGGAATGATTCTCATGGGCTCATTAGGAGTTGCAGGACTTGTGGAAGACTCCATCAACCATTTGACATCCAAGCCATCATTTAGTGGAAATAAGCATAATAATGTAACATACATTGAGCTTGCTGCGTAATATTCTTTACCAAGAGAATCAAAACAAGAGCAAATTGACTTACTTTGGGTTGGATTCTCCTGGGTTGGCTCTTCATTCTGAATTTCTCCTTCATTTCCTCTAGAAGACCTTTCATTGTTTTGCCTTCGGGACTGTTCAGATATTTTGGGCTCAAATGAAGATAACAATGCCACTTGGCCGAATCAAAGCCCCAATGGCAGGTCCTCTTATCCGGCGATCGGTGAGAGTGCATGACAAAAGTCTGCGTTGAAAACATCCCATAGCACTCTAAACACTGAATGCACAGGGCGTCTGGTTGGGTGTACAGTTGAGGTGCAAACAAACCCTGGCACTTTCCTAAACAATCATGTTCAACTTCAAAGGCACTACCTGTTTCCTTTAACTGAGCCAAAGAGTTTTTTGCAGGCAGCAAGCTGCCATTTTGTGGGAAGGTATGCGGCCGCAGAAGAGCATTGCATAGTCTCTGAGCGTCTGTCAAAGTGATCAGTCCACAGGACGGAGCATTGAAAGGAAGGATTCCCAAAACCTTTAAGATGTGAAGCTGGTCTGATGTACAACGCGAGCAGTATATGTACATTTCATCGCACACAATATTAATCTGCTGGAGTGAGAAATCCCGCAGTACAGAGTTCAAGACTTGGGGCAGGCACAGTCTCTTTTCACCTCCCACCATGAAACATGAAATCGATTCTCCCTCCAGTTCTGTCTGAGTAAGCTCTGTTGAACTGTCTGATGGAATAAGAAGAGGACCAGGGTGAATTTGTGGCGACGGGAGAGGCAAGAACACTGTTGGCGACATGTTTTCTTGGGAAAAACGGGCAGAGAAGGCTGCGGGTCCACCCAGCGAACTCCGGCTGCTTAGATTGAACTGTGCCAACGTGTGCTTGAGTTCAGGGTTCAGCTCCGAAGACCCACTAAGGGATACACTACTCGACTTAACAATGTTCTCTTTGTTCTCCTCTACAGCTGTCTCTTTATAGTCATCCACTTCCATCTTGATTGCTATAACATTATTTGCAACATTAGGAACATCGAAATTGACTTCGCTTTCTTTAGCCAGTTTCTTTAAAGGCGGGCTTCCGTCTTCCTCCATATTTGCACTTTGTCCGAATATCAAAATTCAAATTTGTAAGCCTGTTTATTTTTACGCATCGAAAGTTACCATTATATCAAAATGAAATGTCATTACCAAATGCTAGTGAGCTATAAAGAACACGTATGCTACATAACTGATTCATATATACACGTATTTAATCCTTTTCTTCACTTACAAAAAAAAAAACAATTGCATATATTTAAGGGTCTTCCAAAAATGTCAATGTCATTCTAAAAAAAAGACTTGAGCTACCTTCAACCAGCTGAGAGTGCAATGTGCAAGAGATGTCGAAAGATGTCCAAGTGATGTACTATTTGCTTTGCTCCCACCCATGAATAATGGCTTTTTTTTTAATCTATGTTACAAAATTGCATCCATGTGGCAACAGTAAAATGAAAAAAGAAAAAAAAAATCAAGCGGGCTGATAAAAAACGAAGATCGAAGGGTGACAGGGTTTTTGAGCGACGAGTTATGTAGGAAGCCGTTAAAGTGAGTTATATCTAATCATATATCCAGGAACGATCAGCCTTCTGCCTCTGCTGGTGTGTTATTTCAATAAGCCATCTCCTCATCTAGAAAAGAAGAAAAAGCATAGATGTTCTTTAAACACGGTCAAGGTCAAATTCTTATAAAATGTACATAGGCTTGTTACATTTTCTCAAACGATTACATTCCAAATAATAAGAAAAAAAATCTCTTTGGACCCGACACCCTGCAATATAGGTTAGGGCTTAGAATGGATGAAAACGGGGGCTTGGAACAGAAGGTCATGACGATTATCCTTTGTGCTAGCTTCTTTTTTTCATACGATCTCAGGCATATCAATCGGTATGCCAAGCCTCGCTTGCTCTAATCTAAGAGCCATGCTCCAGATCGCTGTAGGTGCTGCAAGCCGTATTTCAAACACACAATAAAGACCCGTTTAATGACAAATGGCGAAACGTGACTGCAAGCTTAAACACATGAAAAATACTTGGCTCCAACTAAAAAGGGGGGTGGGGGGGGGGGGGAAAGAAAAGGAAGAGAAATCTCCCCGAAGACTGTCATGTGATAATCCTTATGTAGTCAGCTTACAGTTCACTGCAGTCCAGCAGGAGGCTGATAACTCAGCTCGAGATGCTGATGGCAGGACCCCGGGAAGGAGCTTCCCCCATCCTTGCTTGACTGTGCAACTGTAAACATCGCCCTGTGCTTATGCTAGCTCACAAGGCGTTTAACCCTTCCGCCGCCAGTGTCTGCCTTGCTTCTTAACAAATCAGTATTAATGAGAAGCGGGTTGGATTTGCTTTGCTGGGTTGGAAGTAGCTAGGGACAATAATTACCCCCCCCAAAAAAAATGCCAATGACACCCAAAATAATTATAGTTATATGTGCGCCGGATAGATACGATAATTAGCCTTGAAAGGCGAACCTGCCTGCTTCACGTGCGCTCCTCAACCGCACGCTTATCCAGAGGAAAAGAATGCAGTGAAAACAAAATTGGACACCTTATCAATGTATACAATACACAGCGTACCCCGTCAATCAAGACATTGACACGCCGTCATTTAAACCCACTCCAGCAAGAGGGCAAAGTTAAAGCTGCCTGCCACATGTATAGAAAGCCAGGAGAAGGGCAGGCGTCAAAACACGGCGCAATTTAAAATGACATCCAAACAATAGACACAATATAAAGGCGCCCCTTTGGTTGGGATTTACCACGATGAATACTATCACAAGTCTGCGAAGGCTGGCGGCGCTCAGCTAGCATCAGTGTCATTAATAAAGCAGAGAGGAAACAATGGGCTAGGGAATTCCCATTGCATACAGGCATTTAATTCCACAAGCAAATCAATGACTGATGCTTGAAACTCTAATGTGATGGGTGTCACAGCCAAGAGCGGCCAGCACAAATGGCCAATCGCTGACCACTGACAGGACCACTCAGTGGTCACACATGCAGAATACAGCGCTCCGCTCCTGGCAGCGATACAATAGTGATCAGGGGGCTGAGCGTCACTAAATAAGCAGCGCTGCATTGTACTGGCAGGAACATGACAGCCTGAGCCCAGGAAATGCCCTGCATGTCAGCTGATCAGCACTGACAGCCCTACCACCTGACACCTGGCATCCAGAGTGGCATGGAGGCACACTGCCAGCATTCGTGCCCTGTATGCCCTTCCTGATGGACCCCCATCCATCCCCATATCTGACACCACTGCTGGGGGGGCCACACATTGGCCCCTGGTTTCTACCTGCTGCCCAGGTGTCCCAGCAGTGAGATCCAAGGAAGCAGCAGCAGGCAGAGAACTGTCCCGCTGTCACCTCCTGAAATCTCCTCGTGTACTGCTCGGCACTGAGTACAGAGCAGGCGTTCAGCTGTTACCTTGGCATCTCCGGTCACTCCGCTCCTGCCTGGGTGCCATCGCTGCTCTGGCTCGATGTCAGCTTGCGTCCCCTCCACCCCGCTCCCTGTCTACGGCCCGTGACGTCACCACTGCACACGAGCCGCCTCCCTCCTGCCGTCTGTCGGCTCAGTCTGCGGGGCTCTGGAGTGCAGGAAACGGTGACGTCACTGGGTGGAGGCGGAGCGGGGGCGGGTGATGAGAGGGGTAGACGCCATGGTCACGTGATGTGTGTGTGTCTCAGTGCTGGGAACACACGCTGATCTCTACATTGCTGCTGACACGAAATCCCCTTTAACATGAATCACCTAAAACAGAACCGGCAGCCTTGTGACATCATGTCTGGGGACACTCCGTAATAGCCAGCAGCAGGTCATTCTCATGGTCAGGGATTAATGATCACGACGTGTTGTTGCCCGGGGGTCACACTAGTGCTGCTACTGCGTCTGCTGCTACTGCTGCATGATTATGCGTTTCTCAGTCAATCTTTGTAGCCTGTTTTTGATGCCTTTCATGCGTTTTTCCTTTAGCGAATGACAAGTAATAACTGGTGTGACATCATTCAGGGCCCATTCACACCAGATGCTGCCATGATCGCACAGTGGCAGGTGTGCGGTGCCCTGGCACAGTGCAGATGCGCTGATGTTTTTTGTGTATAACTCACAAATGACATTTCATTCAGTTCTACGGGCACATCATCTGCGTCACATCCTGCTGCGCTGAAAAAACTTTTTCCAGAGCACACCATCGTGTTCCCATCGCAATGGGGTGGTGTGAACCAATCCCATCCATGACAAGGCCTTGCGTTGGGGCTGCGCTGGAAACAACGGCCAGCACAGCACCAACATCAGGTGTGAATCTGCTATAAAGGTGCCCATGCACTCTCTGATCTTTGTTCGGAGATCTTCCACGAACGGTAATCGAACAGTTGATGGGACACCAACAATTTTTTTTACTGTAATCCCACTCATTTTCTCAAATGGTTAGGCTGGAAATCGTTTTTTTCGAATCGAATGAAAATCAATGGATTAGTGGCGTTTTTGTACGGAAAAAAAATCGCAGTGCGTTCTTGCTGCGATTTTTTTTCCGCAAAGATCTAGAAAAGCTTTATTACAGATGTGAGCTGTTGCTTCTCCATTCTCCTTCCATGGCTCACCCAGTCACCTTCTAGGACTTGCAGAATAGTGAATTTGTCACCCTATGACTACTCCTTCAGGACGAGACAGAGAGCGGAAGGAACAGCCCTTGTACTATGCAAATGTGTCTCTAATAATAGAAATCATCCTGATTGGCATGTTTGTAAATCGTATAAAATAATAACACGTCTGGCTCTGATATATGGTACACACAAAGTGTAGCGCAGCACATCAGTGTGAACGGTGTCTGGTATTTACAGTGTATATGGCTGGAATATGCCTTGCATATGACTTTCCATGCAATAACATGGACCTTCTACTCTGCCGCCATTTCATTGGTATATCACGCTTAAAGTGCACCTGTGTCCAGACTATGGACATTACACCTTCCCGCTGGTGTAATGCATGTATGTGGCAGCGTGGTAGGTGGGCTTTAACGCCGAGCAGCCACATATACACGTCCAGCCGACTTCGCTGCTCTGTGCTAAGAGCGTGCTCACATGGCGCTCCTAGCACAGTGACCAACATGTCACCAACAGTTCCTGGTCTTTGTTTAGTATTGGGAGCTGATGAGACAGTCTACCAACCATGTGATCATTTTACATGCGTCGGGCAGCCCATTCATTCCAACGGGCCGCCCAGTGTTTGTCAATCACTCCTTTTTTTTTTTTTAATTGAACTGCACCAAAAAGCAGGGAGTGGAATTTATCAAAATTGGAGCAGGCAGAATCTGGGGCAGTTGCCCATAGTAACCAATCAGCTTCTCTTTTTCATTTTCAAAGTTTAAGGCTCCGTTCTCACCTAAGCGTCTGTGCTTCAGGCGTATTTGAGCATTTTTCGTGCATCAACGCAAGTTTGCCATGCATTGTTGCACATTTTTCAGCTTGTGCAGTCCTCCATTGTGTTCCCCGGTGTGTTGTGCAGTGGAAGGCTGGCTCCTGCGTGACAAATGCGCAACCAAACGTGTGAAAGCGTTTTTGTCATGTGTTTACATTGAAGTCTATGGGGCAACAGGGCATACATCTGCAGAAAAGTGGCTCATGTACTTTATCCAGCGACTGGCATTTTGCTGCAGGCGACATAACGCTCAGGCTATAGAAAACCATGGGATTCCTTGTGTTCAGGGTTTTGTAGTTCCGAGCTTTGAGCTACAAAACGTCTAGGTGTGAACGGGGACTACCTCAACAAACTGAAGAGAGAAGCTGATTGGTTGCTGTCTGCTTCAATTTCGACAAATTCTGGCCCATGGTGCGCTACAACAAATGGGGTGCCATTAAAAAACTGGCACCCCAGCGCATCTGTGAAAAAGACACGTGTTTTCATGCCTGTTCCCCCTACCACGCAGGCCTGAACAGGGGGCTATTTACATTGTAGTTTGTTGTTTAAGGAAGTCTATTACCTATTAACGAATTGTATCGCTCTGCTGAAAACCATGTAGGTGACATGTCAAACAAATCTGTCTGATTGCTGTCAGCTCATCGGGTCTATTTATATGAGATGTTGAATCATTGTCTGGAAATCTGTCTAGTTCGACTTATGGCTG